AAGAGCTTGAGAATTATTTTACCAGAACTTAGCTGTAACGATGCACGCGAACTTATTAATATTCCATTCTTGAAGGAACGACGTGAGATTTTATGCGAACAGTTCTTTTTGAGAGATCAGAACCGTCAAAAATTGGATGAATTTTTACCTAATAAATCCTCTTCGGTCTATGATACGAGGGGACATTGTAAATATAATAATTATTATTGTAAAACAGAACGTTTTAGAAAATCCTTCTTGCCACAAATTATTTCGAAATTAAATTGTAAATAGTAGTTTACTCCTTTATATTTAATTATTTGTAGTATAGCTGATGTAATTTAACCTTCGGTTACAAAATCAGTAAATATATTTAATGGAAACTTTATTAAATGTTTTTCTTTACATACATATACAATCGTAAATCTCTCTCATAAAGGTAACTTACGGTTGGCTATTTGAATCACAATTATACTAAACTAAAATAACAGAACAAAGTGCATGCAATATAGATATATATACAATGAGATAAGTCAAATTGTTAGTAAATCCGGATTTTCCCATTCCTTATTTCGGCAACAAAAAATGTAATATGTAGTTCTAATAGCAATAGTCATCATTTTCCTAACGCAGTACATTTGGTGGTTTTTGTCAAGACCAATACTATCTAACATGTCTAAAAATGTATAACGTTCTTCTGCAAAAATACCTAAAGAGCTGATGGAGAGATTTATAAATTTAACTTGGTTAAAATTTTTACCTAGTTGTCTCAATAATTCTCTATATTTATCCTTCTTCCGTTTTACGTTGTTTTTGAGGTTTGTCTCATAACCAGTGGTGAGTTCAACCACAAATAAGGAACCATTTGAGCATGATAATAACAAATCTGGGCGATACGTATCACCAGTAAGTATTGAAGGGCTTTTGAATCCATTTAGATCAGCGTAGAGAGTAGAACCGTCAACAGTTTGTAACTGATGAGCAAGAAAGTTCAGGACTGAATTGTGTTTCCACGTAAATCGGTCGAGATAAAACTGACATCCAGCTACTATGTGTAGTAATGTTTCAGGGCTAAGACAAAAAGAACAGTCTGAATTTGAAGATATTCCCATCTGTTTAGGTTTTTGCGCGTCGGAAGAGAGTTGTTAATGTAATGAATGGTAAAGTTGTAAATGTTTTTCGGGAGCTTTGATTGGGCGACGGACCACACCTTGCTAAGCTGAGGTAAAGCGAACTTCGTGACGCTGCAGAAAAAGGATCCTTAACTGGTTAATTGGTTTAGGAGTTTGTTTTCGTGTCCAGAACGGAAATCTTTGAGAACTTCCTTAGTAGAGTTATAAGCGTCATATTGGATATTAGTATGGTTACTGGTTGCTCTCCACAGGTCGTTAGTTGATTCATTAGGAGAATATTTTAAAACTTTTCGGAGGACTGTTTGACACTGGATAAATTTTACAGATGGAGGATAAATACTCAGGCCAAATTTGTTATTTGTTAGAAAGACAGTACTTAGTGTTCCTGATATTGGTACTTCAAGCCATCTGCGGATATATTTGTTGGCAATAGAATCGATATTTTCAGTAACCCATGTTTTAGAGAGTGTTGCGACGGTGAAGTGCCAGGCTAACTTGGACAAGACGTAGCGACTGTAGAGGAGCAGTTTATTTTTGGGGTGTAGTGGCTTTGAGTCAATATCAGACATTAGTTCGTTAAGTAGGGTGGTTAGTTCAGTTTTGTGATTATCATTCGACATGTGGAAATCAAAGTAACGTCCTAAATATTGAAATGATTCTCCAATGGTGATTTTTGGTATTAGTTGAGTGCTGATGAGGAGTTTTGGCAAGTACTGAACTGATTTTGTGATCGCTTTTTTAATGCCAAAGGTACTGCATTTGTCAACTCGGATAATCATATCGGACCATTGGCACCAGATAGAAAATCGATTTAATAGATGTTGGTTTTCGGATTCTTGGCCAGTAATTACAGCCGCGTCATCAGCAAACTGGAACCAGTGGATGGGATTTAGTAATTTGAAGGAAAACCCAAATTGACGGTACTTTTCAGCCTTGATATGCTGAATGAATGTATTGAAGCACATGTTAAAAAGCAGAGGACTGAGGGAATCTCCTTGCAATACGCCACGGCCAACTGTCATAAAAGGAGTGCGGAATTCAGAGGTAATTATCGAGGTTTGGAAATCAGTATATAAACTTTTTATAACAAATTTTATATGATCAGGGATATGGTGGTAGTCAAGTACGGATTGAATGAGGTTGTGATGGATTTCACCGAAGGCATTCTTAAGATCAAGTAGGGTGATGACAACAGAGCGTTGTCTGATCCGAGCTTTATTAATAATGTCAGCCATTTGTGCAGTATGTTCTAGAGTGCCAGATAGGTTGGGGGGTGAAGCCTTTTTGTATGTTGTGTTCGACGAAGTTATTAGATGCGAGGAAGGAGTATACTGCGTTTCGGAGACAAGATGTAAATACTTTTAAAGGTATGGATTCGAGTGTTATGGGGCGGAAATTTGAAGGGTCATTATTGTTGCCTTTCTTGTGGATTAGTATGGTACATGCTCTTTTCCACTCAGTTGGGACAGTTCCAGATAGCCAAACACCGTGAATTAGCTCAGTAAGGTAAGTTCTCAGATAAGGACAATGCTTGAAACTTATTATAGAAAGTTGATCAAGAGGGCAAGGAGAACCAGACGATTTCATTTTGCGTATAACATTCGTAATTTGTTGATAGGTCGGGGAGTCAAGGTTAAATTGAACTGCAGGATCAGATAACTTTGGGATCCAGCTGGGAATTACAAATAGCTTGTTAGGATTAATTTTAGCCAGAGATTTAGAGAAATAAGAAAGGCAATCAGTCATGTTAAATGATGGTAATACTGCGTCTTTTCTATTGATTATATTTTTAACATAGCCCCAAAAGCTTCGTTCCAGATATTTGTTGTGATTAAACGACTCACTGTCATTTAAGTCATCGGCGTCGTTGCCATTGTTACGGAGCCTGTCACGCAATGTACGCGATACGTATTTAATTTCACTGAGTTCGCCCTTTTTGGATTTTAAATTTTGTAAAGCTTTCTTTAACTCTTTAACCGTATACTCTTTATATTTAGCTACCATATTTTTGTCGGGTACAGTTTCAGTATGTCCATAATTATTTGCAAAGTAGCTGTATATCGCGTCATTTAAAAGCTTGATTTTTGAATTTAGATCTTGCAATGTGATTGGATCACTTGGCTGGAGTAATAATAATAATAATAATAATAATAATAATAATAATAATAATAATAATAATAATAATAATAATAATAATAATAATAATAATAATAATAATAATAATAATAATAATAATAATAATAATAATAATAATGGAAACTTTATTTTGACATTTTATGTATACAACAATTATAAATCTTACTAATTAAGGTAATTTATAATTGACACTTGAACTATTAATTATTGATAAAACTATATTACAGGTATAAAACTAAGAGGAAGCTCATTCTTAAATGTTCATCAAGTCCGGATCGGTCCAATCCTTGTTTCTACAACAAAATATATAGTACGTTGTTCTGATGGCGATGGACATTATTTTCTTAACACAAAAGTTCTGATGTTTTTTATCAAGACCAACTTCGTTCAACATTTTCATAAACGTGTTACATTCTTTTGAGAAAACACCTAAGGCACTAATAGACAAATTAATAAATTTGACAGTTTTGAAATGGTCTTTCTGCTGCGTAATTAGATCCTTGTATCTTTCCCTTTTGCGATCGACGTTGGTTTGGAGATTGGATTCATATCCGACAGAGAGTTCGAGTATGTACAGACAATCATTTGAAATCGAAAGAAGCAGGTCTGGGCGATAAGTGTCACCGGTTATTATTGACGGGCTCTTGTATCCAGGAAGGTCAACAAATAGAGTGGAGTTGTGGTCAGGTTGGAATATTTTTGAGATAAAATTGAGAATGGAGTCATGTCTCCAAGTAAATCGTGGAAGGTATGACTGGCATCCCGCGACCACATGCAGAAGGGTTTCAGGGTTCAGGCAGAGGGAACAATCCGAGTTTGACATTATTCCCCATTTTGTGAGATTTTTGCGTGTGGGAAGAGTGTTGTTGATGTAACGGATGGTGAAGTTATAGATGCTTTTTGGCAAGCGGGATTGAGATTTGGACCATAGGTTGTTTAGTGTAGACAACGAGAACTTGGTGGTGTTAGAGAAAAAGGAGCCTTGGAGAAGCAGATGATTTTGAAGCTTGTCCTCTTGTGCAGATTTGAAACTTTTAAGAACTTCCTTTGTTGAGGTGTAGACGTCGTACTGTATGTTAGTATTGTCGCAAGTTGATTTCCATAAATTTCTTATACAATCATTTGGAGAGGTTTTTGAGGCTTTACGAGAGATTGTTTGGCACTGAGTGAACTTGACGGATGGAGGGTATATATTTAGTCCAAATTTATTACTTGTTTGGAAGACATTACTTAAAGTTTCAGATACTGGTATTTCAAGCCATTTCCGTACGAATTTATTAACTACTGAGTCCATGTTTTCAGAAACCCACGTTTTTGATAAGGTAGCGACAGTAAAATGCCAGGAGAATTTCGATAGGAGATAACGACTATAGACTAATAAAATTTTGTTCTTTGGGTGTAGCGGTTTGAGGTCAATTTCTGACATGATATCTTCAAGGAGGGTGATTAGTTCTTGTTTGTGATCTTTGTCAGACATATTGAAATCAAAATATTTCCCTAAGTATCGGAAAGACTCTCCTATTTTAGTGGCCGGTATTAATTTATTGTCAATGAGGAGTCTTGGTAGGTATTGGATTGATTTTGTCAGACTTTTCTTAATGCCAAATGTACTTCATTTCTCGACTCGAGTAATCATGTTTGACCATTGACACCAGATTGAGAAGCGATTTAAAAGGTGCTGATTTTCGCTCTCTTGACCGCTAATAACGGCTGCATCGTCAGCAAACTGGAACCAATGGATTGGATTTAAAAATTTGGTCATGAAACCAAATTGGCGGTATTTATCAGCTTTAATGTGCTGAATAAAGGTGTTGAAACACATATTGAAAAGTAAAGGACTAAGACAGTCTCCTTGAAGTACACCTCGGCCAACAGTTATGAATGGGGTAGAGAATTCGGCAGTTATAATTGTGGTGTTGAATTCAGTATACTATAATAATAATAATAATAATAATAATGGAAACTTTATTACTTTCAATAATATATATACACACTACAATGATAAACCTCTCTTTACAGGTAGTTTACCAGTGTCTACTTGAATTAACACTCTACATAATAACAATATTAGTATGACATTAGTTGTTGGTTATCCCATTCTTTGTTACGCTTACAGAATATATAATACGAGGACCTGATACATATATTAATAATTTTCCGAACATAGTACTTTCTACATTGTTCATCAAACTTTAGATCTTTCAGCATTTCGGTGAAATCTAGCGACGGGTGGCTGAAAACTCCTAATGAGCTAATCGATAAATTTACAAATTTCACTTTTTCATAATTTTTGAGCTGTTCGTTAATTGGATCTTGATATTTTTGTCTTTTTCGAGTTGCATTAGTGAGGAGATTAGATTCAAATCCAACCGTAAGTTCAAGTATATAAATACATTTGTTTTCAAGTGTTATCAAAAGATCAGGGCGCAATTCATCTCCGGTGATAACAGATGGACTGATATAGCCAGGAAGGTCAGCATAAAGGTTACAATGGTTCACAGATTTAAGTATGGATGCTATGAAGTTAAGCACCGAATCATGACGCCACGTGAAACGTCCTTCATTTAGGTAGGTCTTGCATCCAGCGACGACGTGAAGAAGTGATTCTGGATTCAAACAAAACGAACATTCGGATGTTGGTGATATTCCCCATTTCAGAAGGTTTTTGCGAGTCGGAAGAGTGTTATTTATATACCGGATAGTGAAGTTAAATATATTCTTCGGAAGTTTACTCTGAACGGAGGACCATATAGAGTTGAATGAGAGTGTAGAATGTTTAATGATATTGGAGAAAAATGAGCCTTGTGAAATGAAGTGGTGTTGAAGCTTGTCTTCATGTTGTTTCCTGATGGTGTTTAATACGTCCTTGGTGTTTTTGTATTTGTCATATTGTACATTTTTGTGATTGCTAGTATCTTTCCAAAGGTTATTGATCGCTTCATTTGGCGACGACTTTAGGGCATTCCGAGAAACAGTTTGGCATTGAAGGAATTTGGTTGAAGGTAGAATGATATTTAATCCAAATTTATTGTGGGGAAGTAGGACGTTACTAAGGGTTGCAGAAATTGGAAGTTCAAGCCATTTTCGGATATACATGGACGCGATACTATCTAGTTTATCGTTAACCCAGGTTTTGCCTATGTCAGAAACAGTGAAGTGCCAAGAGATTTTGGAAAGCACATAACGACTGTATAAGAGAATTTTGTTTTTCGGATGTAATGGTAGATCATCAATTTCATTCAGGATATTAGTAAGTGTGTCATATACTTCAGATTTGTGATCCTCGTCGGACATGTTGAAATCAAAATAGCGACCTAAGTAGCGAAACGATTTACCAAGTTCAACACGTGGTACAAGACAGTTATTTATAAATAGTTTTGGGAGATATTGAATGGATTTGGTTAATTGTTTCCTAATGCCAAATGTTGAACATTTGTCTACACGTATTATCATTTCAGCCGACTGACACCAGATTGTAAAGCGATTGAGGAGCATTTGGTTTTCTTTTTCTTGGCCGCTAACAACAGCCGCGTCGTCGGCAAACTGGAACCAATGAAGAGGATTTAATGGGGTACCGTTTTCACTGGATTTCCAAAATCCAAGTTGACGGTATTTTTCCGATTTAATATGTTGGATAAAGGTATTGAAAGACATGTTGAATAAAAGAGGACTGAGACAATCGCCTTGAAGGACGCCACGACCGACTGTAATGAAGGAAGTACTGAACTGTTCAGTTATTATGGAAGTCTGGAAATCAGTATAAAGGCTACTGACAAGATTCTTTATGTGATCGGGAATGTGGTGATATTCAAAAACTTCATGAATAAGGTTATGGTGGACTTCGCCGAATGCATTTTTGAGATCTAATAGTGTTATGATAAGTGATCGTTGTTTTACTCGCGCTTTATTAATGATATGTGCCAACTGTGCTGTGTGTTCTAGTGTTCCTGAGAGTTTTGGAGTGAAACCTTTCTGTATGTTCTGTTCAATGTAATTGTTTTCTGCAAGAAACTGAAATGTTCTGTTGCGAAGACATGATGTGAAAACTTTGAGTGGGACAGATTCGAGAGTAATGGGTCGAAAGTTTGCTGGGTTTGCTGTTTCGCCTTTCTTATGAATTAGAATTGTGCATGCTTTCTTCCATTCAGACGGGACAACACCGCAAGACCAGGCTGCGTGGATTATCTCAGTTAAGTACGAGCGTAAATAAGCACAGCGTTTAAAACAGATGATAGATATTTGATCAAGTGGACATGGTGAGCCAGACGGTTTCATTTTACGGATGACATTTGTAATCTCTTGATAGGTCGGGGGGTCAAGATTAAAAGGGTTTTCCCAGCTCATTCTTTCATCTAGTTCTACTCCCAGACATGGAAAAGAGGAATATCGAGTAACCGGTTTATCATTTATCATAACCTGTTCATTACCAACTTTGTTTTTTAAGTTATAGGGTGATCCTATAAACATTGCTTTTGTCTTTTTTGTGTGAAGTTGCAATTTATTTCGAGAGAGCCATTTGACTATATTTTCTAAATCCTGATTAAGTTTGGTTACTACTTCGGAGAAACTTGCGGAAGATGCATATATTTGAGTATCGTCAGCATACATGCCAGGAGTTGTGTTTTTCAGACATTCTGGCAAATCATTTATATATAGTAAAAACATGAGGGGTCCCAAGATAGATCCCTGTGGAACTCCGCATACAATTTCCTTAGCCAACGATATGTGGCCATCGACAACACAAACTTGGCTTCGTTTCGTCAAATAGGATTGGAACCATTTTAGCTCAAAATCTTGAACACCAAACTGGTCTTGCATCTTCATTAATAGGATTGTATGATCAATAGATTCAAAGGCTTTCCTAATATCAACTGAAATTAATCCGGTTATTTCTCCATTATCCATATTTTCAAACCAATTGTCACTCATTTCTATTAATAAGGACAGTGTCGAATGTTTGGGCCGGAAGCCCGATTGAAAACGTGAAAGTAGAGAATTGTCTATCAGATATTGATAGAGCTGTCCAAATATCTCTTTCTCAAATAATTTGCTGATAATGGGAAGAATAGATATCGGGCGATAGTTTTCACATTTCGTTCTATCGTCTGTTTTATAAACAGGTATTACCCTAGCTCTTTTCCAATCATCAACATATATCCCAGTAGAAATTGAGAGATTAAATATATAGGTCAAGGATGGGGCAATAATATCGCAAGATGATTTCAGCATTTTGGCTGGTATTCCATCAGCCCCGGTAGCCTTGGATACTTTTAGATTTTTCAGGTTTTTTAGAATATTGGATTCAGTAATTGTATGGAAATAGAATTTTCACCAATTGAATTACAATGCATGTCTTCATAATCCGAAAGACGTCCACATTCAGCAGCGAGTGTTGGGCCAATATTAACAAAATAGTCGTTTAATTAAGTGTTCAGCTATTTGTTTGCGATCATTATATATTATGCCATTAATATTAATTTCTGCAATGTTAGATGATTTCCCACCTTTGCCCAATAGGGTGTTTATCAGTGACCATGTTTTTTTCATGTCTTTAGCTAGGGAAAATTCCTTAATTCTTGCTTGATAATAGACAGTTTTAAACCTTTTCATTTCCGAGTTAACTTTATTTCTCTCCGATTTATATTTATCCCAGTGAACCTGGGAATTATATCTCTTTGCCCTCTTTTTATGATAGTCTCTGGATCTTATTAGTTTTTTAATATTGGAATTTATCCAGGGAACAGAATTGTGCTTAATGCTTTTATAAATTAAGGGTGCATGTCTGTCAAGAGCTTCCAAATAAACGTCAAAATCATACCTTTGAATAACAAGTTGTAAATCATCAAACGTAGATGTCATACTCTGCGTATTTAGGTGCATAAATGAAAGTTGTTTTTGCCGTTCGACGAGTGCATCCAAATGAGAGTCAAAGTCTAACTGTGAATCACGCGATGTATTTGCATTATCGTCTGTTGTTAAGTCCAAAGTAACCAAGTCCTTTACTTTGAAGAATGGGAGTTTAGTAAAGTACAGTTATTGCACGTCCAAATGCCAGGTTGTTTGACTTGAGTGGTTTTATATAGGCTAGTGTTACTGCTTGCACAGCGAACATGAATCATATCATAACAATTTTCACACATAAGGCGTTTATGATTTCGCTGTACTGGCTTTGTACACTTCGGACATTTCGCTGCAGGGCCTTTCGATCTCTGTTTGTTTGTAGTATCTACAGTAGGTCCAGGGTGTGGAAGGATATCACCGCAAGCAAGTACCGCTGAAGAAATGATATTAAACGATGCTGTCGAACCGCGATGTAGCGATGTTTCAGCCATTTGCATTTCCTTGTGGTTAATAACAGCGAATTCTGTTTCAAGTCCTGGTGAATTTCGACGAAACTATTGCTGTTCTTACTCGATTTCTCCTTCAGGAATGAGTTGTTGGTAAGATTTTGTGGATTTAAAATCCCTAATATCAATAAATTGTATAAAATCGTGGAGCTCAAATTCACACGTCTTGCCATGGCGAATATTATTTAAGTATACTCTGGCTTTTTCTCCTTCTTTTCTTCTATTATATAATTTGAAAACAAGCAGTAAGACTCCCAATTTTAGCTATTTTAAAACAATGACTTTGGAAAGCCGTCAAGTATACAAAATAGACAACAAGACGCCGAAAGTAAAACAAAAATTGTTTACTCGCGTTACAGTCGATTTCACAAAACTTTTGCCAAAATGTTCCAAACTTCGTTCTGAAGTTCACAAAATTTGTTTCGAAGTTCACAAGTTCAACATTCAAATTCACAAGCCGGTTTGTAAACAAGACCTCTGATTGGTCCATGAATTGAAAGAAGCCAATCAAATACTTAGTTTACAAACCAGTTTGTGAACTTATGAACTTGCAAACTTCAAACTTTGGAACTTTGAAATGAACTTGCAAACTTTGAAACAAAGTTCAGAACATTTTGGCAAAAGTTATGTGAAATCGACTGTAATCGCTTTGCGGATCAGCGAATCAAACTTGGGTTGGGACAAAATGTTCTGAAATTGTTTTGAACAAATGTGCAAGGTCGAGGAACAAATTTCAAACAGTATAAAACTGAATCAACTGACAAAAGCCCAACACAACTCACCGTTTTTGCTATTGCCTTCGACTCTTCGCATAAAGAAGCCAAGAATCTTTAAAGAAATATCCGTATAAGTGAATTTAAGTGAATAAGAAACTCAACACAACGTGAAAATGAAAAGTTTGATATAGATTTGCAGCAACGAATGGACGAGCAAACTCCCAATAAAAACAACAACAAACTTTATTGCAAAAGCTTAGTGGAATTCACAAGTTAGATATATACAACAAAAGTTTACAAAGGCCTAGCAACAGCTGACGTAGAGATAAGAAATTTCAAGAAAATCCGGTTTTCTCCGGTTAAATTAAAGGTTATCCTACGGATAGTTAAACGCGGTACTAAACGGGCTTCGTACAACACAATTTTATCGGCCGTTTAACTATCCGCTGGATAAGAAAGTTATACGCTGGATAGCGGCTAAACACCGTTTAAGTTAAACGCCTTTGATACAACCGGACCCTGATGTGTAACTTCGTAGGACTTCGTGTCTTCAAATTGACAAATTTCCTTAGATGTACCATGACGTCATGCTCACACGCCATGACATTTGCTAGCAAAATGGCGTCGTGAAAAACTCAAAATAAGCGATCACTACATGATCGTTGCAACGAGAGTGGCTAAGCAACCTGGCCTCCTCGCTCGAAAACTCTCCATCAGGGCATTGCCCAAATGGTGAACGACCCATGTTCTTTCGAAAGAGGAAGGTTCATACTGTTATGCGATGTGAAATTTATTGCTCTGTAACGATGCGAAATTTATTGCTCTGCAAATTTTTTGCTCTAAACTATATGGCCACCATGAGAGTAGGTTGTGTCTTGTGGCTCTCAGCAGCTTTGGTTGCTGTGAGTCTATTTTTTAAGTGTGGATTTCTCAATACTGAACGATCACCTCAACAAACATGTACGAAACCTGTCTCTGACAGTTTTACGCGTATGATAGAAGCCTTATTACGTGCAGAAGGAAATGTTTTTGATAACCGTATTATATTCAATGAAGCGAATTATTCTCGGCGAAGACAAATATCTATTCAAAGGCAAATCACCACGATATGTCGGGCTATTCTAAATTTCGAACGGTTATCTAATGAATCAAGTATGAAGCATATTGATGATTGTTTCATGGGTTTGACAGCAGCAGTGTTTCATCTAGAAAGAAAAGATTTCTGTAGTTATACCGTGCTTAATGGAGTGAATCATTATTATTCTCGCCGAAGTCAAACTTTTAGTATCATACAATCAAACCTGCACCTGTTGATACAAACATGTTGCAAGGAATTTAGTGATATTTTTGCAAGGTCAGAAATGAATCGTTGATACAAAAAGAACAATTTTTGTTCTTGGCTAACACCATTTTAGAATCAAGACGCTTCGAGAATCATGACCGAATTTGCATATCTGAAGTGCTTCAAGCTTCTAAGGAAGTCTCCATTGTGCCCTATTTTAATAACAACAATAACAGTGTTTGTTCTGTATCAAGCCTTTTAACGGGAAGACAATGGTGCAAATTGCCGTCAATTAACTTTAAAGTCTCTAAGTCGAAATATGCGAAATCGAGGGTGACACATTATTCTAACAGCATTGCCAGCTATCAATTGCTTTTGATTGCCGGTGATGTCCATCCTCAGCCTGGTCCCTCCGCAGCCGAGAAAACAAGGGTAAAACAAACAACCGTCAAGTGTCCACAATGTGAGAAAACCGTTAAACGCAATCACAAACGTGTAGAATGTGATAAATGTTTTGACTTATTTCATATCCGCTGCGTGTATAGTAACTCATGGTTTATCAAAAACACCGGAGCTCATGACCCGCGTAGTTGGACATGTCCAGAGTGCACATTATCTGAGTTACCTTTCTTCAATGTTAAGGACTTGGAAATACTAGAAAGAAAAAGGAACGAACAGATAAACTCAACTCTAGATTCTGAATTAGAAACGTTAGATTTTATTGCTGAAGCTTTGCGGAACCACCCCCAAACATCTCAGTATTATGCACCTAAACACGCCAAGTATGGTTTCCTCATTCAATGAATTTCAAACTCTTGTTAGGGATTATCCTATGGATATTATCACTATGAGCGAAACCTGGCTTAAAGAAAATTCCGCGCTATTAGATTATGTCGCGCTTTCTGGATATACCGCTATTTTCAACAGTCGTGACACGATTCGCGGCGGCGGAGTGGGTGCATATATTAGTAATTCTATCAATTTCAAGCGCAGGAAAGATATCGAAAATCTAGAAACTGACTTTGAACATTTGGGGTTCGAATTCCCGGGGAGGAACAAATATAGTAAGGCCCTAATTGGGGTGATTTATAGATCTGAACGTATGCTGAGTTGTAATGATTGGCTCGACCGCTTCGAGAGTTTATTGGGTCAAGTGTCACTTGACTGGGATGGTTTATTGTATCTTACTGGCGATGTAAACATCGACACGCTAAATTCATCTCAAGGCCTTTGATAATGTTGAGTTTAAAACTGTTTTAATGAAGCTGCACAACTTGGGTTTTTCGAAGGACTTTCTTCTCTGGATGATAAACTATCTATCTAACAGGAAACAGTTTGTCCAAATTGATGACAAACAGTCTAGTCTAGCCACAGTTCTGTTCGGTGTTCCACAAGGGTCCATTCTAGGACCAATAAGCTTCAATCTGACGTTGACGACACCAAACTCCTTCTGTCCTTCCGAATCAATAACTCGAACACTGCGCTGACTGATCTAAACGAGGATTTGATTAGAATGAGAAACTGGTGCTTTGATAACCTGTCCTTGCTGAATCCAGACAAAACTAAATTGATAGTCTACGGAAGCCGCCAAATGCTCGCGCGACGTTACCTGATTTTAGACTCTCGCTACTTGGTAAGGAACTTACACCTGCTTCATCAGTGAAAGATCTCGGAGTTAAGTTTGATCCAATCCTCTCCTTCGACAATCATATCCTTTCTACTGTTTCATCCTGCAAGTCAAGTCTCATAGCCAGATAAATCGCGCTAAGCATGTCTTCCGTAAAAACCTTTTAATAACTGTCATCAACTCCATAGTATTTAGCAAACTCTACTACTGTTCCTCGCCTTGGTCAAATACTTCCTGCAGCAACCTATCCCGACTTCAAGGAGTCCAGAACTTCGCAGCACGAGTAGTAAACAACAGAAGGAAATTTGACCACATCACCCCGATACTGAAGGAACTGCGCTGGTTTCCCGTGAAGTCACATCTGTACAGTCGCGATGCTCTATTAGCTTTCAAATGCATGAACGATTGCGCCCCTGCCTACTTATCGTCCCAGTTCAAAACGAGAGGTGAAGTGAGTGGTCGCGATACAAGAAATACTAAACAGCTGGATGTTCCGTTATACAGATCAACTGCAGGACAAAGAACATTCCATTACAGAACTGCCACTCTCTGGAACAACATTAACCCTTACTTAAAACTTTGCAAATCTATTCCAAGCTTTAATATTAAACTGAAACGGGAACTGCTTCAGCAATTTCTAGATAGTTAGCTTAAGGGTATGGTTTTCTGTTGTCGTTGTCGTTGTCGTTGTTATTGTCGTCGTTGATGTTGTTGTTGTTGTTGTTGTTTTTGCTGTCGTTGTTGATGATGTTGATGTATGTTGTATGCTGCTGTTGTTGTCAATCTTGTTGTCAAGAACTTGATGTCGTGTTTGTGTATAAAGTAATTGCGTGATCTTATTATATGAATTTAGGATCCGATGTACACTATAGTAATTAATAGATATGTACATATATTTTTGTCACTGAAAAGCCCCTTTAGAGGAGTGTCAATAAAGTCAATCAATCAATCTCTACGTAGCTGATCTGCAGGATAAACTCCAATGTCCCTGTTGTCAATACGCTGATGACACAACTTTTCTCATCCACAGTAAACCATCAGATCTACACTTGTGCGCAAATGCGGTGAATGGTGCCATTTCCAGACTACGTGAATACTCTGAGGGATGCAATCTTGCACTAAATTTATCAAAGACAAAATGGATGCTTATTTCCACCCTTCAGATGTCACGTATACATAAACTGGATGAACGACTGCTGCCCATTATGTGTGATGACATCCCACTAGAGAGAATCTCTTGTACCAAGTTGCTTGGTGTGTATATTGACCAACATCTCGTGTGGGGTAATCAAGTTAATAACTTGTCGTCCAGTTGCTATGAGATACTGAAAGTGCTACGACGACTTAAGAACTTGGCTCCTTTTCACATGAGGAAAACACTTGCAGAAAGTCTAGTGCTTGCCAAAATCGATTACGCCTGCACTGTTTTTCATCCACTACCACAGTACCAGCTGAAACGGTTGCAGCGCCTGCAAAATGCTTGTGCTGGCTTCGTACTACGTAAATTCGCCAAGATGGAGGATTTAGAGTGTTTAAATTGGCTTCCCATCGCCGGTAGAATAGAATTCAACTTACTGAAACTCACGCATAAGGCATTATGTAATGAAACTTTTCCCGAATATTTATCTCTCTCCTTACGTAGTGTGAACGCTTATAATCTACGATCTTCCTGTGCTCCAGTTATTGAAGTACCGAGAGAAACAGGGACCTTTAAATATTCAGCAGCCATTACACTTAATAAACTACCAGCTGATTTTAGGAACATATGTGACTATAATTTATTCTGTAACGTTAGTAGGGATTATATTAGAAAACAATACTTTTAATCACAGATTTTAATCCGCATTTTGTATAAATAATATATATATATATATATATATATATATATATATATATATATATATATATAAATATATATATATGTGTGTGTGAAGCTGGGTAGTTGGTCTTCGAGTTGGAAAGTTTTAAACGGAGGAGTACCGCAGGGAACTGTTATGGGTCCTGTTCTTTTTTTGGTTATGATCAACGATCTCCTCGATGAATGGCCCGACCGATGGAAGTGTGTAGATGATAGTACGGCTACTGAAAGTGTCATGGTTGATTGTAGCAGTAATCTTCAGGATCTCGTCGACTATATCTATAATTGGACGGTTACAAATAATATGAAACTTAATGTCACTAAATGTAAAGAAATGATCCTTGACTTTGGTAGGGTAAAACGGAATTTCCCAGCATTATTAATCGAGAACACTGAGGTTGAACGTGTAAATTCTGCCCAAATTCTCGGCGTTACGATCCAAACCAAAATGAATTGGAATGAACACGTTAATAAAATTGTTAAGAAATCTGGGAAAAGATTGTATATGCTCAGGTTATTGAAACTAGCCAACGCTGACACTAGAATGTTATCCATCGCATTTACCACTATTATAAGGCCAGTCTTAGAATACGCTTGCCAAGTTTGGCACTTCAACATTCCAGGTTATTTGAGTGATGATATTGAAAGGATTCAAAGAAGAGCTTTGAAAATTATTTTACCAGAACTTAGCTATAACGATGCACGCGAACTTATTAATATTCCATCCTTGAAGGAACGACGTGAGATTTTATGCGAACAGTTCTTTTTGAGAGATGAGAACCTTCAAAAATTGGATGAATTTTTACCTAATAAATCCTCTTCGGTCTATGATGCGAGGGGAAATTGTAAATATAATAATTATTATTGTAAAACAGAACGTTTTAGAAAATCCTTCTTACCACAAATTATTTCGAAATTAAATTGTAAATAGTAGTTTACTCTTTTATATTTAATTATTTGTAGTATAGCTGATGTAATTTAACCTTTGGTTACAAAATCAGTAAATATATTTAATAATAATAATAATAATAATATATATATATATATATATATATATATATATATATATATATATATATATATATATATATATATATATATATATATATATGATTTTGTACTTTTTATACCTAATTTGTACTGTAGATGTTGCAGATGAAGAGCCATATTTTCTATGGATATGCTGCAATAAATTCATTATTATTATTATTATTATTCTGAGGAGAGATATTGGACTTGATGTCGGAGAGTATATCAGATAAGTGGTTCTGCCTCGTGCCCTGGCGCTTTGAATAATTATAATACATAAAGTATTCAGGAAGGCAGGAGACGCGCGAAGGGGCTGTTGGGAAGGCTGCGTCCTGAGGAGCGCCTGCATGGTAGTTCTCGTAAACTGCAATGGCGGACAAACATCGAATTTAATACAAAACGTTACCATATCGTCAAAATAGTACTCTGTGTGTAAAACCTTATTTTTTGGTTGAACTGAACGCCATTGGCAAATAATAATAAATTTGTAGATGTTTGATCACATGCAAAATGCGCGAAAAATTATGAGTAAATTACATGGCAAGTTAACCGTGCGAATATTTTATCCCCGAGCCAACGGCGCGAAGCGTCGTTCCGGGCGTTTGCCCGGAGCGAGGGTATACCAATTCCGCTCGGCTATTTACACCCGGGGAAAGGAAAGCATTAGCGAAGTCTAAAGTTCATCAATGATCGCGGGCGTGGGTCACTGTGCGTTTTGGGTGGGCGGTCATCTCACTGATCTTAAAGTATGGCTGTTTGCCAGGAGTGAAGAAGGGAAATTTAAAATATAAAAATACATGTTGGAAGGCCTGGAAAATCGTTTCACATAACAAATTTTAAAATTGTTTCATTTTTTAAACGTAAACATTTATTAGAATTGATTAAGTATGAGAAATCCTAAAGCATTGGACAAGTTTGTTTCAATTGTTTATGTGTGACTTTGTATTATTAAATAAATAGTTATAGACTTTGTTCTTGTTGTTCAAGTCTTTCCTATGCATTGTATGCGAAAGTTTCTTAGTTAAATTAACTTTTGTAGAAGTTCGTGATAAAAAGAAAAGCAAATTTTTGTTCATAAGCATCCTGTACGAATTAAATTTATTTCATTTCAAAGTACAAGTAATAAGTTGAAGCTAGAGTTGAAGAGTTTATTAGCTTAATATCCGAAAAAGCAGTTCATTTCAATCCACATTTAAAAAAGTTTTACATAGAGTTTCGTTTCGAATTTTACATTAAAATACAGCCCGTATAGAAAGCAAAATAATTTTCCTACTTTATATATTTTATAAATTGATAGTTCTGTATTTAAAAGCGTTCAAGTTTTATCTATTTTTTTGCAGGTTTCTACAAAAAGTTTAAAAAACAATTATCGTGTTGCCATGACTAACATGATGGCAAGATGTGACAACGCGAGCCTGTGTTCAGTGTTGGCATAATTAGGAACACTTCAAGTTGAAACAGTGTTTGGAAAATATAGGCGAAGGGTCGTTGCATGCATGTATTTCTAGTTTAGAATATAGAGAATATCATTCTGCAGTATTTAAATAAAATTTCACAACCGTAAAGTTTGAAATATTAGAACAGTGCAATTTTATTGTTTATACCTTTATATATAGTCATAGCTTGCAAATCTAGTTCCTGCAAGTAAACCTTGCAAATCTAGTTCTTCAACGCTTCGGTTGATGACATGTTAATATTGCAAGAGTTTAAATAAGGCATATGCAACATATACCAAGAATAACAGCATGAATTCACGCCCAGATGATAGAAGAATATTAACATTGGTCAATACTACAAAAACAAGTAGCAAAAAATCGTAAACGACAACGAACTATCACAACTTGCAAGAAATCGTACTTTGTTGCACGCAATCGACCAAGAATTGTCAGGTGTCTCGCATTTCAAGTGCACTCTTCCCATCAACCCCTTCGTTCTCTCGCCATCACAATACTTCATGTAAACTCGCCATATGCGCATCACTGGGTTTTTTTACAAAGAGATCTCTGATTACGAGGCAGTAAGTGCTTAGTCTTCTACTTCTTTTACCCTATGTCGTTTAGTGGCAGTATTGTCGACCGTTAAGGTACGATGAAAATATAAAGCAATATCGCATCAACTAGACTCAGAAACACAACAAATGCATTCTGTTAACATGTTAGATATATATTTTACATATATTGTTAATATTTTTTGAATTATTTCGTTATTACCTATTATAAGGTTAAATATTCAGTATAAATATTCAAAATAAGTAGACCATTCCGAGATTGGGCCGCCTGTGGCGACACTTGCTAGGAAGATGGCGACCGTGGGACAACTTTTCTACTAAAATTAAACATCTTTTCTTAATTTGTGATTTAGCTTTAATGAAATGGTATTTGAAAAATACGCTGTCAACATTATCTGACGATATCGTCATTACTTTTCTGCAAAACCTGAAATATATCGGCAAAATTAGTTGCATGCATCTTGAACTTTAAGCCCATATAATGCAAACTGAAATATTGGTAGTTCTACAGTTAACAGTGTTATACTTTTTATTTTTTATACTTTTTGTTTTCAAAAAGTTAAAAAAAAACAATGATGGTGTGTCTTTGGTTTGGCCACTGGAAATCGATAAAATGACGCGAGCAACGTACGCCAGCCTCCAATCAGTATTGTCGTAATTAAGGGTACTTCATGATGGAACATTGTGATAGAAACACTCAAACACATGATGGGAAATATATGCGAGGGTTTGTTTTATGCTTAATGGATTATGTTCGAATAATTACTGCGAACTATAATTGTTAGGTTTGAAAATATGGCGGGTTAGAGCGTGAATGTATTTCTATTAAATTTTAATTAAGTACTATTTGCAAGATAGCATCTAATAACTGTTTATTATTGCAACGAAAAGAGTCACCATTAGTATTTGCCAATTAATGTATAATATGGGAATTTTTAGATTTATTTATTGATTGATATGATGGATAGTCTGCAAATTGGGTTGTATCATTAGAAGGAAATGTAGTAAATACGAATTAAACTATATATGCTTTATGGCTGATTCTTTTTTTATCTTATTTAGGCAAGAAATCAAATTTAAGGCGAAGCGGTTGATCATTTCTTCCGTCAGCTTTTCGTTTTCTACGTTTGGGCAACAACTTTCAACATTTGTGACAATAATGGTTCTAATCGAGACTGACAGGTCCATACTTACACCTTACAATCTGATCACAATGATTTTGCTTTTTTTAAATATCAACAACGTGGTTCTTTTCGAAATCCCAACTGGAATTCATTTTACTACAAACATAATTATCGCGCTTACCCGGATACAGCATTTCTTGGAAAGCTATGAATTCATGGATGCCACGATCGATAAGGATAGAGTTCCTGCAGGTAATCATGACCAATCAGAATGTGTTGAAACGTCAACTGAAGAGATGAAAGCTTCGGGGAATGTAAACTGTACTCCTCACGTTTGGCTAGATAATGTGTCATGTAATTTACCCCCATCAGGTGTTTCAAATCTTCAGGAAAACAGTATATCACTGTTAAAGGACATTTCTTTTAAGATATCATCAAAGGGAATGGTTATTATTACTGGTTCTGTTGGTAGTGGAAAGTCATCGCTGCTCGCCTGCATTCTTAATAAGGAACTTCGTGTTATCAAGGGAACAATAAAGCGTGCTGGAAGCATCGCCTATGTTTCAGATAAACCGTGGGTATTTCCAGGCACCATTCGTCAGAATATATTATTTGGTTCAGCATACGACGAAAAGTGGTATTTAGAAATCGTGAAAGCTTGTCAGTTGGAAAAAGATCTTAAGGGATTCCCGGAATTGGACTTGTCTCGTATTGGAGAACACGGTGCAACATTGAGTGGTGGACAACGGGCACGTTTAGCTCTGGCACGCGCCGTTTATTCACGGGCAGATATATATCTAATGGATGATCCTTTAAGTTCTTTAGATGCCAAAGTAGCAGAAAATATTTTCAAGAATGTTTTAAAAAGTATGTTATCAGAACGAATTGTGTTCTTAGTCACGCACAAACATTTCAATGAAGCTGACTACATCATAATGTTGGATAAAGGTAAGAAGCTTCAGTCATGTTTACACAACTACTATCTCAAGTAAACTATAATTTTGCCCATTGAAGACATTCATTTGATAGATGCGCGAGGAAAATGGGATAGCAGGCAGGTGAGGCAGGTGAGGCGGGTGAAGAAATCTTTATTTAAATTCGGTTAACTCTTCAGTGAAAACACTGCTTTACAAGAGGGCCGACATTATTAAAAATAACTATACACAATGTAATTTTAGGTATGAGATCTGAGATATGATCTTTAGATATGAGATCTTTTTTAAGACATTTCTAAACTATTACTGCATTTTACTTCTGCTGGTAGCTCGTTTCAAATATTTGCTCCAGAAAAGGCAAAACTTTTCTTTAGAATTTCTGTTTGTGTTCTTTGCAAAATTAGACAAAATTTTCCTTTTCTAAGAGAATATGCCTGATCCATGAAAGACATTTTAAAATGGTCATGTAAGTAGACAGAAGCCATATTATTTAATATTTTGTACATAATTATGAGTTTATGGTTAATTTCCTATTTTGGGAAGTGTTTCCCATTTCAATTGACTTCTAATATCATTAGATCTGACATCACAACCCGACAAGTGATAACTCTAATTGCACGATTTTGCAGTTTTTGAGTCGTTGAGCAAGTGTTATTGACATGTTGTCCAAAAGAACATCACAATAGTCAAATATTGGTTGAATTACTGAAATATATATTTAGTAATATTGCATGGAAGGATAACAAACGCTCTCCCTTGGCGGAGACCAGAAATTTTGGAGCTTCTTGGAGATTTTAACAGTAAATATGATCTCGCCATGACAATCTTTCATCAATAACTACCTCTAGTAAGTTTGATACTTTGACTCTTTTTATTGGTTTTCCATCCAAAAATAAATATTTTATATCCCGTTGTTTGTCAAGATTGCTATCAGACGCAATGAACATGTAATCTGTTTTAGTAAAATTTAGGGTAAGTTTATTTGCTTTGAGCCATATATATGCGAATATTGTCAAGATCTGCATTGGCTGCAGTTGCTATTTCCTTTATCGACTTTCCAGTTGTAGTTATATTAGTATCATCACATACATTCGTGCTGTAGAATATTGCAGACAAAAAAGAATGTCATTAATTAAATAAGGTACACAAGAAATAGCAAAGGACCAAGAATAGATCTTTGAGGTACCCCACATAGCAACAAGCGCTGACTTGACACTAAGCCATTTACATAACATTTTTGCTTTCGGTAAAATAACTACGATTTAAACCCATTGAGACTCAGTAAATCAATTACACAAAATCTAATGATCCGCCGTACTAAATACCTTGGCCAAATCTATAAATACTACAAAAATCAATTAACCTGTTTTTTTTCAGCCATTAAATTTTGTATGAGCAATATTTTTTTTCACCATGACCTGAGAATATTGAGAACGTTTTAACGTCAATTATTAAAATAATTACAATATTTGATGCAGGTGCAGTTGTAGCTCAGGGAACTATGGAAGAAGTAAAAAAGGAGATGCCAGAGGATAAAGAGAACATTGTAAAACATATTGATAACGATCCTCACCATGTGGAAGATGGCGATGATCCCGCACAAACTGAACAGTTACGTGAAGCAGAAGAAGATCGCCAGGTTGGGAATGTTTCCATCAAAGTTCATGCAAAGTATTTCACGCATGGAGCACCAGTGTCGATCCTTTTCCTAATGTTATTGGCAAATGTAGCGGGACAAGGTAAAACGTAATGTAGGACAATATTATCGAATCACTAATTGAACGTTTGTTTACAGCATTGCCAGCTAATTTACAATTTTTGATAACACACACACAGGCCCGGCGCTACGTGTGTGTGTGTGTGTGTGTGTGTGTGTGTGTGTGTGTGTGAGTGAGGGCAGGGGGGTGTTACACCCTCCCAGAAATTTTATTCAAAGCTTCAGTTGGCAGGACTGCTATTTTAGTTGGCAGACACAAATATTTTTGACGGAAAAAACTACTACTGATATGATTTTCGCCTTTTATATAAGAAACGGAAATTTTGGTTACTCGAAATTTACTCAGCAGGATAATCGTTATAATCCGTTAGCAAAACAAGCCCAGATTGACAGTTATACTTAAATGAAGTATATGTAGCATGTTTGATAGGTAGAACCGCTGAACACAATATATTCCCGCCAAAAATTCAATGATCAAATATGGCGATTTAGAACAGGCTTCATTTATAGCACAACGGGCATAATTTCAGGGACCGCGGAACTGGGGGGGATAATAATTTTCTATACATATGTGATTTTTATAAACTAAGAATACTGAAATCTTTCTGATCAGTTAACAATATATTTATAACTTATATAGCCAAGTATTCAATCTATTTCTGGTTGGATTAAACAAATGACGGGTAATATTAGATTAAGAGTCGTCTATTAAGAAACTTTTTAACAGCAACTAGTAAATTTGATTGCATTTCCAGGGCTCTGGGAGGTCTCAGATTTCAAAATTTCCCCTAATCCCTAACAAACTCACGCCTTCGGCGTTCGCTATAGCCCACTTAATCCAAAAATTGCTCCGCGGTCCCTGAATTTAATTGATCCTGAATTTAGTTGATTTCCATCGGAAATTTTACAATCATCCATAGCTAGCATGTGGTCGGTACAAGCTCGTTCGTCAGTCGGTTGAAATGACCTTACACCTCCCCCTGAAGAATTTCCCAAGGGCGGCCCTGCCCACAGACCTGACGTCTCTTGTTTTACTTTGCCAAAAAAATAGATTGGACAGAAGTAACTAGTAAGCATGATAATTATGTGTAAGAGTCATAGATATTTTATATACACTAGATAGCGCATCTCTTTTAGTAAAATTGAAGCCAAGAATATTCCAGCGATTACCCCCAGCCTAGTCCCAGCCTCTTTCTCAATGCGCTGCTTTGATCTATTTAAAAGTCTTATAAATTTTATGCCTGGGCGTGCTGTGCGAAACGCTTAAGCGAGAGAGCCTAGCAGATTTCACTAAAATGGTCCCTGATTTCAAAAAAATGGTCCCTGGCCTGGTTACCAAGCATACCGCGTTATGACATTGCTCAGAGTCAGTCTCGTAAATTTGTATGATTTTTTTAATTCAGCACATTTTTAATACAGTTTGAATTTGGTTATGTAAACATCGAATATGATCAACGAATATTGTCGTATTTACAAGTTTATTTGTATATATAAATTTTCTGCCATATTAAAAACACTGAAATCTGCTAGGCGTTCTGAAGCACCTTTAGCGGTGACGTCACACCTACGTCTTAGTCTCGTACTACATCCACGTTTTTTCTCGCGCTTGCTTCAGAACGACTGAGACTAGGCTGTGTTACCCCCATTTGAATAGATGGCGGCCATGTTGGTCGTTCCCGCTCGCTAATAAACGTTTAGAAAACAAAAATAACTTTTATCATTTGAATACTTTAAAAATGTATTTGGAGTAGGGTTAACTTAATGTTTAATTAAGTTCCCTGTTTAAGAAATACAAAAAAAACCGAATCTTCTCATTTCTTGGGAACGACCTGAGACTGCAATCACGGCTTCAATTTTTGAATTCAGAATAACTAGATGCACTATCTAGTGTATATAAGATATCTATGGTACGAGTTCTTTACTGTGCTGTTATGTGCTTGCAACTGGAACAGTAATATTTAGGCTTTGGAATTGAACAATATAAATAATATGGGGTAACAATTTTATTATTACTAAAATTTCAATTGACACGTATTGTAGTATATTAAAATAATTTTTTGCTAATTATTTTTAATCGCTTTATTTTGCTAGGTTTGATCTTGTGGATTGACATTCAAGTGTCAACATTACCAAATTTGGTAAAACAAACAGAGAAGTTTCACACAGCGTTATATGTATATCCAGTGTCTTTGATTGCAGCAGTATTAGTTACCACCCTTGCGAAATGTTGCATTTTTCTTCTACCGATTAGAGCAAACTACGAACTCCACAACAAAATGGTATCTTGTCTCCTTCAAGTTCCAAGTCATTTTTACGCCGTAAACCCACCTGGTCGTATTCTGAACAGATTGTCGCAAGACATCAACAATCTAGATGATCTTCTGCCATTTTATTTGGTGAATTTCTTTCATAATGCGGCGCTTTGCCCGGGAGCTATTATCTTGTGTTTGATGAGCAACGTTCTCTTAACGCCACTTGTTATAATCACATTTATAATTTCGTTTGGCTTGTCAAAAATATTCTTTAATTCTGCGATGGACATCAAACGTTTAATGTCTCAAGCTGGTGGTCCGTTATATTCCCACTTTTCAAACACCATGGAAGGATTGAGGATTATTCGCGTGCATAATAGACGGAAAGAATTCACGAAAGTTTTGCTAAGGTATGAAATTAATTATGATGAGATCAACGGTTGTAAAGCAGATACTCTTAGTACGTTTTAGGCTTTCAAGTTTTAGCGATATTAATTTGAACTCCGAAAATGAGGACTTGATTGGACTTCAAGTCTGAAAAATATATCGACATGTTTTGGTTAAAGGGTATTGGCAATAACATGTTTTATTGCTTTATCTAAAAGAGCATGAAAAAATAAGCCGGTTGGCCGTTTACTGCTCTATTCTATCTCATCTGGTTCCGAAGTTATGCGCAAAAATGTGCGAAATATAAATTGCTGATTCAGCACAACGTGTGACGTCCTTGGTTGGGTAAGTATGTTTATTGAATAGTTAACTGAAGCATAGGTCAGTTATTATTGGCTCAAATCAAATGAAATTTCGCATACAGATAGTACATGATGAGATGCATGGGAAAATACTTCTAATTTTGTTGTCAAGGCAATACATTCGTTCCCAGGCTCCTTACACTGATTTTGGATAACTAGTTGCTTTATCTATGTGTATGTCATTTTCGAATTATTATCATGCAAGTAAACTTTTGGCGTGCATAGGTATGGCACACATACTTCTGATATTATTTTATTCTTATAAGTACCATGAATAAAGCTGTTTTATAAAATTGACGCAAGCGGCCTGGGAGCGACATTATTACCTTGGCAACAAAATTAGAAGTGTTTTTCAATGCGTCTCATCATGTAGTATCAGTATGCAAAATTTCATATGATTTGGGCCCATAATAACTGAGCTATGCTTCAGTTTAGTATTCATTAAACGTACTTACCTAACCAATGACGTCACACGTTGCGCTGAATCAGCAACTTATATTTTGCACATTTTTGCGTATAACTTCGGAACTAGATTAACCTGAGTATCAGGCCCACGGTATTGAAAGAGGGCCTGACACAATTCGCCTCTAAAGCCATGTTCAACATCCAGAATCTGGATGTTATGCTGATTGGCTAAGAGACGATAAAACGCATCATGTGATTCAAACCGGAAATATATGACCGGCGTATGTAAACACCAAAAATAGAATTTGTAATTTTGTCAATATACTGTTAAAAGTGCTTTATTTCTGAAATTTATTTTCAATTAATTAAGCCTAAAAATGACAAAATAAGTACGAAAAGACGTTGAAAACGCTTTTGCAGCAACATTTTACTCGGTATAAAACTAAAACTACATAGTCATAGTAGAAAGCGTGTCTAAATATCTCGCCGTAATAGTCGCCGTAGAACGAAAATATGTGGATGTCGGAAATTTTCAAATATTTAGTTCCAAAAAGTTGAAGCCTTATTTATCAGTTTATTGCCGAGCTGTTTTCCAAGACCTGCAAGGATATAGTAGTCAGCCCGCTCGAACTAATATGCCAACATCAGGCAGAAATTGAAGACAATACTGAGCTGTCTCGAATAAACTATTAACATGACATGAGGACCGAGGAAGAAGAAATCCTATTCAGAGCGCCGAATGTTGTCTCTTTAGACTCCTGGAAAAAGCATGATCGAGCTATGGTTCCCCGCATGAGGCATAGTTTACGCTTAGAATTCCATCATGTGGATATTTCGACAAAAACATACCGATTTTTCTCCGTATTTATTCAAATTTATACAAAACTGCAAATAACGAAATTTGCGTATTTACATACCTGTAGCGGACAACCGGAAATATGCTACAACCGGAAATAATTTTAATTGGCTGATATTCTGGGGGTGGAAAGCCCGTAGAGGCGAATTGTGTCAGGCTCTCTTCAATACCGAGGGCCTGATACTCAGGTTAGAACTAGATGAGATAGAATAGACCATTAAACGGCCAATCGGCTTATTTTTTCATGCTCCTTCAGATGAAGCAATACATTTTTTTGTTGCCAATACCCTTTAAGGTGGCTCCCTAGGGTTTTATTTCCGGGGGTTACGTTCTTCGTATATATGTAAACTAAAACTCGTGTGACTTCAAAATACGAACGAACGTTGTGTTTTATATGGTACTCTTTTTTGAAACAAAAGTGTGAACTTTGCTTTAGTTGAAAGCATAAAAGAGTTCTAAAAGCCAAAACGATACTTGGATGTGATGTTTCAAAAGAAGATAATGTAAATTTGTTTTTTTTAAGCGGTATTCTGGATGTTTTTTGAACGGCCGTACGCGAGGTTCGATCGCGAACATTGGGATACGATATAAAGTCTCCTCAAGAATTTGCAGTGTTTTCTCCACAATCTAGCAGCACTTATGACAATAAAGATGACTTAAATAATGAGCCCTCTACGGGTGAAATGAGCAGGGCCGAAACTCCAAACATACCGCTATAAAAACTGAAATTTGAACGGGCATTTTGCGAAAACATCCGACGATAGTACTAACTCGCACGGGACGAATTTTGACAAACATTTTTCAAATTAATAACAAGAAGTCATAACCAGTAATTACCTAAATATCTTTGCCATTTTGACATGTATAATCCACGCTTAGTTGACCATTAACCGACACAGTTATAAACAGTATATCGAACATAATTTATATTTTGTGATTTCAAAAAAGTCATGCTTTGTTGTTTTATGCAGAATGCATGTACACGTCAGTTGGGGTATTAAATTGTTCGCGTAAAAATCTAGTAAAAATTGCCAAAATTAAACCCAAATTTCTCCGTTTTCCTTCGGTAAATTTTTTAAAACTTTGCACATTTTTTAATATCGGTACAACAAGTGCAATATCTTTTTTTCTTAAAATTAAATCGAAGGGAAAATTTTTAATATTGATTTTTGACGTTATTTAAATTTTCTAAGAAACGTATAGATTTAATTTTTTTAAATTGAGGGAAAAAATTATTATACAAGTATCATCTTTTATGCAAAGTTTTAAAAAATTTCACCGAAGGAACTTTTTAAAATGACCTGAAAAAGACAAAATTTTGAGCTTTATTCTAAGCATGCTGTTGCCATGACAACATATTTCCAACAAAAAGGTGCAATTTCCAATGTTCAGGAGAACATTGTCAATGTGTCCAATAAATTTCGTTTTCATGTCATGTAAAGTAAAGAAACAGGAGTCTCCTGAATACTATAGTGTAGCAAATTAAAAAACCCTAGGGAGCCACCTTAAATTCTAAAGGCCTTTTTCGCCTCACACTTGCCGCATGGGAACCTAGCAAAGCGTATCGGCGAGCATAGACATTGCATCATTCACCCGTTATCATGCACTACAGTAACCAAAATGAAAGTTGGTCTCAAAATTCATCAACAATCTTGAGCATATTATAAAAAAAGTTAGAATTCTTCCGTACCCTATTGTTCACAAAAGAGCAAGTGGGGAATTTTGTTTTCGACCAGTCAGCGCATTTTTTTTACATTTTTCTCTAAGCCAATCAGAATACGTAAAACGCTACATCGCATGAAAAACTTGAAAGATTTGTTCCATGCAAGAGGATCTTTTTATTTTTTGCATGAAATTTGGATATATTGTTCTTCAGAGATTCTCTTGAAATTCCTCGTGCGGATTTTTATTTATTGCGTTATTGCCCAGATATGGGTCTTGACCAATTTATGTCGAAATATGTACATGTCCTTATGTCCTTAATTAGAAGTGTGATCTATTACCTGTTATAGGTATAAAATTGTCTACTCCATTTCATGCTCGAGTCAGTTGTTCACACAATTAAGGCGGATTCAGTGCAACATGTCTGATTCAGTGCAACATGTTTGCCCGATTGACTTTTTGCAATCGTTTTCTTTTCCAATACAAACAGTCAAGCGGAACAAATCATGTTAGCTGTAGTTGACTGGACACACTTCAAAAGAAAGCGATCGCAAAAAAACCAGCGTGCGACGTTGTGTACTGAACGGCCAAATCCGCCTTTACGCAGTGAATCAGCAGACTGCTACATAACAGCATGACTGCCGTAAACTTGAAATCATTTACATCCCAAATTCGAGACTTTGCATACATTTTAGAATTGCATACATTTTAAAATATAATTTATACGGATATTAACAATTCAGCCAGGTTTTTCTTTATATTTTAGCATTTTAGAATATCATGCCTAGAAATACAATACAGCATGCGGTTTGACCTGCAGGCTCAAAATTACATAATTTGCAGATTTGCATAAATTGATTACTTGGTATTAAACATGGAGGTTCACTCTACAACAACGGTACGAAATTTACGAGATTTCCGGGCCCTCTGAGCACTCCAGGTCCCGGGTATTTTGCCCCCTCTCCGCTGCCTCCCCTCCCCCTCTCGCCGGCCTTACTCTACCAGGAGTTGAATGAGTTAAGGAGTCTTGTTCTGTGCAGCACAGCTGATTTTTATAGCGAGAACAAGATTAACGCGGCAAATATTATCAAATCTATATCCTGTGCACTTTGAGCTTTATTATCAAATGCTAATGAAGGGCTTACAACCACTGATCTGTACTAAGATTGGATAACGCATCCATAGTATACGAAAATGAAGCCGGAAGTCACCAACCGCAACCCAATTCAAAGGTTCCACTTTTGTATAGATTTGTATTACAGATGGTAGATTTTCGCATTTTCGCTTTGGGTACGTTTCTGACCGGTCCAGTTTTACAATCACAAAAATAGAAGCATACAAGAAGAATTTTGAGGAAAAAATTTGGAGTATTATGGCTTTATAACGCCGCGAAACAAGATTTACAATTTTGAAGGAATGGAGAGCCTCAGACTTTGTTTATCAACACAAGCTCGTTTGGCTACTTTCATACAAAATCAACTCAAAATATACAAGAATTACTATTACTGGATGAATATTCTCAGAAAATTTGAAGAAATGAAGCAGCTACATTGTGAACAAAAGCATACTGAGGTTAGTTTTAAAAGACCTTGAGGCTATACTACTTTTATAATTATATGAATTAATAAGGAATAGTTTTAATTGTCAATTTTGTCAAGACCATTCCCTCGACTTGTCGAGAAGTTTTGCATGTTTTAAAGTAGAAATACAAGTGACAATCAAATATTTTTTAATCCAAATTAACAATGACTCAATATAGTGTTATTTTAAAGTGCCTATGCAACGAATTTTTCACCTCATTTTTTATTGTTTTTCTAAAAAGTGGAGTGATGAAGAATGACGTTTACACTTTCGTCATATCTCATCTCATTCTCAAGTTATCACACTTTCTATATTTTGAGTTGCGACGTCACAAGTATGAGTTGAGATAATGGCATTCAATAAAATTCAATGAAACTTGGTACACTTAGTGGGTGCACTCACGTGGTTGTCATGGCAACACACTAGTCCCAAGTCTCCTCTCTTCCTTTCACAACTTTCCTCCCGCAGACCTCTTGCAGAGGATGTTTACATATTATAACTGTATAAACTGATCACAATACCTACACGTATCATAGTAATAAGCGAATATTGTAGAAATTGCTATTTATTTCGTTGAAAATGGATCATATAGATATTGGAAGACAAGGGACTGGGGACGAGTGTGTTGCCATAACAACCATATAAACAAGCCAAATTGTTAACTTTGTTGCACCCACAAAATGTACCAAGTTTCATTAAATTTTATTAAATACTCACCAATATATCATACTTTCTTGTTATTGCCATTATCTCAACTCATACTTGTGACGTCACAACTCAAAATATAGAAAGTGCGATAACTTGAGAATGAGATGAGATATAACGGAACTGTAAACGTCATTCTTCATCACTCCTGCAGTACTTTTTAGAAAAACAATAAAAAATGAGGTGAAAATTTCGTTGCATAGGCACTTTAATTAATTCATATAATTATAAAATTAGCGTCAAGGTATTTTAAAACTAACCTCTGTACCCTTTCGTGCTTTTTGTGTCCCTTTTTATCCAAATTTCGCGAGAAACCATGCTATTACTTATTAATAATATACATAAAAAATGTTAGAGACAATTATAGTTTTAACTCACGTTTAATATAGCGAACCGTCCACTGACAAAGTTTTCCTGCTTTGTTAGCCTTTTTCATATTATAAGAAGCTAACGGCTTGAAAATTTCACTTAAATGCGTAAGTTTTGCTGGTTGCCATTAAAAAAAAAAGATAAATGTTATATTTTTTACCCGAACTAAACTTTTACTTAGGTTGGGAATTCGCCCTGTTTGTTTTGTTTGGAAGCAATCTGTGAGCGTTACTTGACGATTGCTTTAATTAATCTGATTGGTTGCTTTTAGATCTCTCTGGTTTTTTTTTCAACAATCAAATCAGTTTGTAACAGATTTTTTCATTGTTGTTACAGATTTGTGCACAGCTGTTTGAGATTAATCGCACTGAAATCAGCGAACCACAATCGAGTAATATTTATGTATCTTATTAATTATGCTTAAGCACATTGTCCAACCCCATTTACATCAAGTTCCATACGCGCAAAGTTCAACATTTAAACGTCTTTCAGACAAGACATAACAAAAATATAAAATTTATTGGCTAACGTTTCGTTGTATTGTTCACAACATCTTAAGAGCAATTAAACTTATTTACAAGCGTGCATTATATATGTACAAATTTATAAAGGGTTACATTATTCAAATAAGCGAATAAGAGGAAGGGATAAAAAACAACCTATCATTAAAAATATTAGTAAATTAGTATAGGTAATCATGCGATGGCGAGTACAAATTTCCAAACATCACGAGTACCATTAATCCCTAATTGTACGAGCAACATCGCATGATTACTTGTTTATTATTAGCATGACAAAATTGGATACGTACTTCTCAATGTCAGCATCATATTCTCTCGCCAAAGCCCAGTCCCGTCAGACTTTCAACCAAAATTTGGTGCTTTTGTTTGTATTTTCATTTAGTTCTTTTGTTAAAGCAAAATTTGGTGATTTTGTTCGTATTTTCATCTAGTTCCTCCACGGCAATTTCATTTCACGCTTGAGTTTAAAATACGTTTCCGCCATTTTGTTTGTTTTGGGAAAATCATTAATTGTACTGCAGTACAATTAATGAAATAATTGTACTCCTCTCAACCAATCAGCATCCAGTAATTTTGTCATGCTAATAATAAAAGATATAACGGTTAGTAATTATTAGTAATTAGAGACCTATAGCAAAGCATTAGAATGGGTCAAGAGGAGTTGACCTAATGTTGGCATTTAAAATAGGATTAAGTTTAGATATGAAAAGGCTTTCGCGAATGAGTAAATCCGCTTCAGAAGTAGCAGTGGAAAGGATTTTAAAATCAGAGGGTGAAATTTGATGTTTAGTGGTATGGATATGAGCGGGTATGCCTGACATGGATGAAACAGAACGTTTCTTTCCAGTCAAAGGTGAAACACCCATATGTTCTGAGATACGCGTGTGTATGTGTCGGCGAGTTTGACCAACATACAATGCACCACAGCATTGACACTTATACAAATACACAACATGCGATCTCAGTTCACAGGGAATTTTGTCCTTAAATGGAAAGAAGTTCGAAAGACGGAAAGAAGGACGAAAGACGACACGTAAGGAAATATGTGAATAAGCAGAATAAAGAAATTTCTGAAGTTGTGATCGAATTTGTAAACCATGATGACCAGTGAAAGGAAGACAAAAATACATATCCTTTTTAGAGCAAGTATGAACTTTATCACGAGAGTTATTTTTGTTATGTCTTGTATGAAAGTCTTTTGCTAGGCTTTAATTTTCATTTTTAAATTACGCTTTCCACCCGGTGTATCAGTCGCTGATGATTTAAACGTCTGTTGGAGTGACGAATCTCATTAATTAAATGTAACTTTACTCTTTTAATTTTATTTAGTCTCACTGACCGTCATCACGAAGCTATGTATGCTTATTATGCGGCATCACGTTGGTTTGGACTCGCCTTTGACGTAGTTTTTTCAGTTTTCTTGATAATTGTGTCCACAACTGAGTTGTATTCTGTAACGGATTCCTCTACTGCTGGTAAGTATTTAATTACATTAATATTTTTTATCTACACGTATGCGCAGTGTATATTGTCGATCATCGTGCGAAATGAAGTGTAATCTGATTGGTCGAACTCCTCGCTGTATATTTGGAAGTTATTCTGTGAACTCGGGTCCTAGACGAGCTGATACTGACCGGTGCGTAGTATTATTGTACTATTAAGGATTCTATGGTGTACTTCATATATATAGATAATATTTTTTACTCTTTCTCTGTTCACATTCTTGCAAAGAATGTACGCAAATCTTTTGACATAAGTTTATTATTTAGATTATTTTCCAATTGTTAGTGACAGTAGTTGAGCCCACTGTGCCTGTAAATGTTTAGGGCCTTCACGCGAAAAATGAACAGCCAGCAGAGGCCACACATAAACAGTAAAAGCAAACTTACCTATACACTTTAAGATTTCTCAATGTAAGAATTGAACGAGATATGAACAATTATCAAGGTTGTTAATCGGCTAACAGCCAACTGTAAAATTTTCGTATCAATTCAATAGTCGAGCAAATACATGCTGAGTTTTGACATAATATTCAAAGGAGTGACGTCATAGTGTTGAAACAAAAAATATATTCAACGCTATGACGTCATGATATTGATATTAAACGTGATGCCGTCATGCTATGAAAACGCGAATACAATATGTGGAAACACCACTAAAACAATGTGGCATCACGTGTTTGCAGATTTTATAGGGAACTATTTAGATTATCGACAAAAACAGCCATGGAAGGTTTAAAACATCTTATCGAACTTATAAAAGATAAAAGGAAAGATTTTCGTCAAAGAGCTACAATCCGGGCCAAAACTCATGTGGACACTTAATCCACTTTTGCAAAAATCATAACAAACACCTAAAACTTGAATTTACTTGCACATCCCCCACTCCCCCTCTTCAATGTTGCATATCCGACTTAACCACACTTCGTATTTGATGAAAAATCCCATTCAACATTGGCTTGGGGGAGCGGGGGGATAATTATTTAGAAAAAACATCATTCGAGGCCAAATTCTGTGGGTTGTCCACAACGTTTTGTCCAGGATTGTCTGAAAAATTATGGGCATGGAGCAGCGCTGTTTTCTCACTTGTTATTTAACATTTGATATGTCTGATGAGACTATAACGCATACCTATGTATTCTAAGTTTTTGTTATACAGTTTGATCGCTGATGACGTCACTATTAGCAATAACGTCACTTCCGGATGTTGTAAATATAAGCTAATTTGTGGGAAGCGTGCGTAAAACCAACTATACTGAATAGGTGCGAGCATAACTTTTTCTCAATCTTATACATCAAAGGTACATCGACTTTACTGTTCAGATACATAGCCAAGGAGCGCATTTAGGCTTTAACAGGAAAGAAATTGTCGCTGCAGAAAATTTTTAGTGTCATATTTACGGAGATTCAGTATGATTCCAGAACGTCTCAAGACTCAAGCTATGTAGCAATTACCTTATTCCATGGAATAAACCATTGTATTTCTGCATATTTACTGATTTTAACGACTCTTGTAGTTTTGAACAGCCTATATTTTTATATACAGCCCTAATATATTACTCGCCAATGACAAGATCCTTGCAATATGAAACTGGAAAAGCTTCAGTACTCAAAACGAAATATATCATGTTAACCTTTTTCGCCATTTGAAAGGCAATATAATTTGACATTGAGGATTCTTAGTATTTCCAAAGATAAGTGTCTATCATAAACTTGTACGCGAACTCGATCCAGCTACAGCCATTAAATACATACAATGCACTTATACTTTTAAATCTTATATTACAATTGGCGTTTGTCAAATAATGAAATATTCCCTTACACTTTTCAATACTGTGCGCCGACTAGCAGGCCAGCACGGTCTACAGTAACTTCGGACTTGAATTATACACAGTTGCTGCATTGAAATGTAACGATTTCTTCTTAGGGAACTACCTATACATATTATACTTGTTATTAAAATGTTTTCGTAATATACACAGTAGAGAAATAAAAAGTTACCACGGTCTACATATTAAAAGTAGCTCTTTGAATATAATAGATCATAGCTCATTAGTATTCATGAAAATACGATTTTTGTGTGTAGACCGTGGCGATTTTTAAGGCATAGCTGATTTATTACTGCATGTAAAAACCTAGATTTTTTCCAAGTTAGTCTAAACAGGTTTCTTATGTAAATGATGCTTACCTGACTGTTCATGTCACAAACCGTAATTATGTTTTGTATATATTCAGTATTTTTCGGGGGGGGGGGGCTTGCATAGGCCCTTGATTTGTGTTCATGCGTATCCCCTTGGAGTTCTATTATGGAGTTCTATTTATATTAGCATATAACAGCTCAAAAAAATCTGTTAAATAAAGAAAGATTCGTTGATGTAAATCAAAATTTCATCAGTGTTTCATTCCTAGGCATTCCGATGAGCTCTGATATATATGTACTATTTAAAGCACGCGTAGGAGTGTTTTATCACATATAAAACACGACGCGTAGCGGAGTATTTTATATGTGATAAAACACGATTACAAGTGCTTTAAATGGCTTAAAAAACGACTCATCTTATACGAGTTCATTGGCGAAGTAATTTTTAAAATAAGCTTTGTCTAAACCGAGAAAATCAAAGCTAAAGTTTATGTAAATTAACATGATTTTTTATCACATATAAAACCACGACACGCTTATGATTTTTCTTTGTGTTTTGCTCCTGAATTATTAATGAGTTTTTTAAATATATATATATAGAGAGCGGACTAGGCATATATTTTGCAACTGTATACTCCGTCTTATTCTTAGAAGTTAATATCACTTCGCCAACCTAAGTATTTTATTTTAGTATCAATATGAGATTAATATCAATAAATTCATACTTTCAGTTCATAATTTCAAAACATACATTTTTATAGCACAAAAACGTTTAATATTATCTTAGCGTCTCGTCACTGTTGATCTCTTGAACTCTTGTGTTGGTTATGCAACATCCGAAATCATCTCCATGGCGCGCACGAGCACGAACAAAAGCTGTTGTGGAGCTTTTGTACGGTCAAATATTTCGCCTTTGGCTTTGCCGCGAAGATACTAACAGCAGCCGCATTCTCAATCACACTTGTTTCGAATTCGTCAAGCCAAAAAATTTTTATCAAGTGCTTCTCCCATAAATGCAACAATATCAAAGCGACCTCTTTTAACGATTTTTAAATTAAAAAAGTTACAGTATAAGATTGTGTTATTGTGTACAAGAATTTCTAGTGTACAAATGTACAAGAAATGCAGCGAAGTATTGTAAAACATTGCATTCCTCGGTCGCAAATTATATGGAATGTTATTTAACGAGTTTCTAACTCATCATATACTTCATCCTTTATAATTAAGGTGGATCAAAACAAAAAACGTAAACAAAGCCCGCGCATGCCCAGAAGTGACTGTAACCTACCTTTAATTAAAATTATTGTTGAATTTAGTTTTCGCAAAATAAAACTTTGTCTGTTAACACAAACTTCATGCCTGATAATTAGGTAAATGAAATACTGTGTTTCTAAACATGTTTTCTTATGTTTAGTTATTGCTTCAATGGCCATTCTGTATTCATTTCAAAGTGCTGTTGACATAGTTGGAACGACTCGTAGTGTTGTAGAGGTGCAAGCTCAGATGACTTCTGGTGAACGAATTCTGGCTTACACTGAAATTAAACCTGAGAAGGGACACGAGATCAATGAACAGCCACCCAAAGATTGGCCAGTGGCAGGGAAAATAGAGTTCAAAAATGTTTCCTTGCGATATTATGAAAATGGACCTAAAGCATTGAAAGATATGTCATTTCAAATCAATTCATCAGAAAAGATTGGCATTGCAGGAAGGACAGGTGCTGGTAAATCTTCTCTGGTTGCAGCGCTCATGCGAATTGGCGAAACTGAAGGGGATATTATTGTTGATAATATGAATATTGAGTATCTAAATCTTCAATCTACTCGTCAACAAATTTCTGTGATTTCCCAATCCCCTGATCTTTTTAGCGGTTCTATCAGAGAGAACCTAAATCCAACTGGTGGTATAAATGATTCTGAAATATGGAGTGTTTTGGATCAGATGCAACTGAGTTTTCTTGTTCGAAGTTTACCAGGAAAGCTGGACCATCTGTGCATTGGTGGCGGTACAAATTTTAGCATTGGTCAACGGCAGTTGTTTCGTTTAGCAAGAGTTTTATTGAAACAGAACAAAATAATAATTTTTGATGAAGCAACAGGAAAAGTGGACAAGAAAACAGCAGAACAAATACAGAACGTTATTCATGATGTACTTAAAGATTGTACAGTAATAATAATCTCGCATCGTATGACAACAATTCAGAGATGTGAGAAAATTATGGTGTTGGAGCAAGGTTCCATTGTTGAGTTTGATAAACAACATGTTTTGCTTAACAGGCAAAAAGGATTCTTATCAGAACTCGTGAGAATAGCCAATGAAGGCAAAATGTACTGAAATGGACAAAGCGCGTAGATATTTAATCCATTTAGTGCTTTAAGCACTATACGGATAATTTATATCCATGCATGATAGATTTTAACTATGTATATTTAGGTCTCCGTATAGTGAACATGCAGACATTCAACACTCCGTTTAGTGGATAATTATATATTTTTAAGCCTCCATAATAAGATTCACTGAATATTATATAATAACGTTAAGAATTCGAGCGCTTTGAGGGGGGGCGGGGGGGGGGTTGATTTAGTCAAAGTTACATATACTAAGTGGCAGAGAGGGCATCACAAGCACTGTCATGTGATGTTATAGGCTGAAATTAAATAAGGCAATGTTTATGAAATTTTCTGCAATGAGTTTCCTGCAAATTTGGAAATCCTCATTTGATCACTAACAACTGTCAAGGTTCCATGTTCCAGTTACTATTAAACATTGTCTTGAATTGGCAAGTAGTATCTAGCTTGAAATTTCTGAAACTAGACTTTGAAAGCTTCCTTTAAAATGTGTGCAAAATTTGAGCTGTCAAATTAACAAACCAAAGAGCCTGTTTGCAGGAGAAGTGAACCATCCACTTCATTCATATATCTAAATGATTTGATTACTCATTGTAAAACCCTATTGGAATCCATGGGTAGCACATAATATGTGGAATCAAATTGGGCAAAAAGAATGACTGATATGCAGGAAGATTGGACAAAAGGACGGAGCTCTATTTTTAACTCGGTTGCCTCTGATGAAAACCACCACTCAGACAAATGTTCATTCTGTTTTGGAAGTGATGCCAATGTTAGATGTCATCAATGTGGTTTGTCATTTTACACGTGCAATATCTGTGATGAAAGATTACATTCATCAAATCCTTTCCACGACCGAGAGATTTGGAATGGGCGTTTTTTTTGAGGCTGTTGCACCCATGGAAAAATTTGATGGGTATAGAAAGACTGGGTCAGGTACCGTAATCGTTTTCATGCGCCAGGATAAGAATCGTATACGACTAGTCGTATCGTGTAGATGGGCTTTACTCAACAACTATAAAGACCATGAAACATCAACAAAGATGTGAGGACTAGTTTTCCTAACTTAACCCACTTGCCTATTTTTAGACCAGGGAAGGGGAACAACAATTACTTGTTGAAATATTACATCTAAGAGCAACCTCGTACCCAGGGCATTTTACCTCCGCGGCGTCGGCGAAAAAGGCCCTGGCCTCAGCTGGTCACATGACACGCTGAATTTTGGGGTGTTTAGTATGATAATTTATGAGCACCTCTGACAATTTAGGAATAATTTACATAATAGTTATGCAGATTCAGGAATAAAAATAAAAATTGTCTAAAGAACTTTATACAGTATTAGCGAATATGGAAATTCTCAACAGAATACACATCGCTTTACATAATGCGGGTATGGCCAATAGAATACTTAAACCACAGCAAATACAATGTTTTGATTACATTTGTAAGGGACATGATGTTATTGCAGTTTTGCCTACTGGATTTGGAAAGTCAGTTTTATTTCAGTTGCTTCCAGACATATTGCCGACAAAAACAACAATCAACATTGTTATTGTGCTGTGCCCTCTTTCGTCTATCATCGAGGATCAGCTGCACAGTCTTAAGATAATGAGTATTAACGCCGGTGTTCTTCCATCACGTTACGAAAACGAAAATTGTGAAACGCTATTCAACAATGAAGATATGGGCATGGCAGCCGACATCCATTTGCCAGACGATCTTGTAAATGGGCTTACCAGCATAGTTTTCGCTCATCCTGAAGATCTCCTTTCTGATGTTGGCAGAAAACTTATGAAATCAGATGTCTATCAGAAGAATGTTGTAGCCTGTGTAATCGACGAAGGTCATTGTGTGGAAATGTGGTAAGTAAAATGTCCATGTTATTTATAAATGCATCAACATTTACAACAAATTGCATTAAACTCTTCTTTTAACATTTTATCTGATTTGTTTTAATATCAGTTTTAGTACTACTAAAGTGAACTCCAACCAGTATTGTGTGTTAATCAGAGAGCCAAATTGTTTGTTGTGAGATGAAAGGCAAAGGCTTGCAAAGCCCAACCACTGCCCCCCCCCCCATCTCAGTCTTGCACCTATGCCCTTTGGTTTGCACCATCCCCACTGAACACTTGCCAGAAATCTTCTATGTCTGGCAAATAAGAAAACCCCTGCTAAGACAAAATTTGTTTATAAATGTGATTTTTATAAAATGCCTTTCCTAGATTTTGTGCTATGGGTTATAACAATTTATATAAACAGTTGTTTTAATGTTATAGGGGGAATGAGTTCAGAAAGGATTTTAAAGGACTGTCATGTCTGAAGGCAATGTTTCCCTCAGTTCCAACCTTGGTCCTCACTGCTACTGCACCACCCCAGCTCATCTTGGATTTGAAAAAAAGTTTGTGTTTAAGTGACAACTGCAAAGTAA